TATACGTGCAAACTCCGGATCTTCGACATTTATTGCTTGGTCGTCGATCCTTCGATCTCTCCACAACAACTCAAGGTCCAGTCATTGGTGACTGTAAGCAAACAAAGGGATCTCAAGATCACGAACAACAAAGGCCTCAAGAACAACACACCAAGGCAACGCAACACGGCCCGGATCAAGATCCGGCCACCGGCGATCTGCACTCGAATATTCGTGCAGACCCCGGATCCCCACTACCGACAGCAGAGCGAAGACTTCCGCGCTGCTGATCACATCCCTGCGTCCCGCCAAGACGCCCGATCTTCATTCACTTGGACAATCTCCTGCAGTTACCGGAGGAGCAGATCCAGCCCTACCGACGGGTACACAAGGTGAGGAAGTTCAGCTTGATCACGGATCATAGGAGTACCCCCTCCTTTAGTCGGTGTCCTGGGCACAGTGGTAAGTCGGATCCAGCATCTTCGCAGATTTTGCTGAACCCGCTCCACCACAAACCGTTGGCGCTCGGGCTGGATACAGGAATTCTGGCGGAATCGGTAACCTTTGGGTCAAAGTGGACGGGATCATGGCAATGATCGGTACGGTTCCCACGAAGGTTGGATCCCACGGGAAGATCTCGGCAGCCGTGAACACCCGGACCACAGAATGTCTAGGACCACACGCCCCGTGAGGAAACCAGGGCGAATTTAGCTGAACGGTAGAGATTTCCCCGGAAGAGATGCCGCCGGGCGAACCCCCTGGAGAACCTCCACTGAAGAAATTCCACCTGCCCTCCGGGACATCCATGATGAGAGGGAGGAGAAGTCTCGGGTCCGTTCCCCGAGGGAGGAGAGTTCCCTGCGGGGAGGGTGCGTGGATGAAAGGGACCAATCCCGTCTGCGAGTAGAGTCATGATCGCCACGATTGTCATCGTCACCACTCGGTATCTCAGGCTTATCCTTAGGTTCGTCGTGCTCGGCTCCGCCCCCGCCCTCACCGTCCTCGATCTCAGGGTAATCTTGGCCTCTAGGTTGGGGAGTGGTAGAATCACCGCGAGGAGATTTGAGAAGAGGCGACTGGGTAGGGAAACCAGGCGGACTCCGTTCCCGTTTGAGCATTCGGGACGCTTGGCTAAGCCGAATTCTGCCTGCAAGATGCATCAGGAGCTGGTCCACCTCCGACAGATTACCTTCGGCAAATCTCGCAACTCGTTGAGTTGATCGTAGGCCTGCTCGAGATCATCCATCCGGCTCTCCCACCCTTGAATCTCCAAACGAACCACCTCGAGATCATCGTTTGTACGGGCAACACATTTGGGGAAAGATCACTCAAGGGCAGATCGGTAAGTGTATTTACCCAGCTGGGCAACCCTAACAGCTACGGTGAGGAGGTCCAAGCGGGCACGATCGCGTGGTCGTGACTGTGGAGGGCGTCGTCGCGATCCGCGGGCGCTTTATCTCGGTCATCACCGGTCTGAGCGAGTTGTGTCAAGGCTCGATCTCGATTAGAGGTGGCTTGCGTCAGGGTCGCACTTACGCGCGCGAGATCAGCTAACGCACGATCCCGGGCGCCCTGAACCAACCGAGCGGAGGCTCCGAGAGGCGAACTCACACGGTGATCGGGTTGAACTCAGGCGAGATCCGTGGAAACGCGGTTGTAGCTAGCCAGGGCCGTGGCAGTTTTGGATCTCGCGTCGTCAAGTTTGTGCTCCTGGTTTCGAACCTGCTCCTGCAAATCTCGGATCTCGTCCCCGGCCTGGACCACTTCCAGGCATAAACGATCGCGTCTTCCTCGACAAGGCGCAGATCCTCACGAGTGGAAACCACGTGGCGCTCGAAGTCGCCCCGTTCCTCGCGAAGTTGGTGAACTTGGGTACGGGGATCGTCGGAATCGCTTTGAGCGTTACGTGCGAGGTTGGCGATCTCGGCCTTCAGGCGGGAGATCTCGTCGTGCTGTCCACGTTGGAATGTCTCAATGCTCCGGTTGTCGGCTCGTAGCTGGCGTACTAGAAGATCCAGGTGTTCTCGATCCCGGACGAGATGATCTCGCGCGAGGTTGCCTTGGCGAATCCCAGTCTCTAAGGCGGCTAAGCGCCGGCCAGGATCGGTGGCGTAGGAGCGGGAGCGGCGCGAGATATCGGGGCGTGGTGATCGATGGCTCCCCGTCAACATGGGAGAGTCGGGAGGGGTCGGTATGGAGGTGCTCACAGAGTCGCTGCCGTGTTGACTCATGATGGTCAGCTGTCCCGAAGAGGTTGGAGCAGTGAGTGCGAGTCAGGAAATTACAAAATGAGACTTGAAGTAAACCGTGACGGCC